ATTGACCAGCAGACGTCTAATCGATTGATCGCTGCAGCTCCAGATGGAGACACTGACGGACATTTTCACCATAAACCATAAAAATAATCTAAAAAACAATCAGCAGATGAGCCACTAACTACAATACCTGCTAGTTGTTGCCCTGAAGAGGCCAAAATACAGATTTAAGCACCACGAGAGTCTGACTGATGGTTGTTATCGTTGTTGATTATTTTCTGGATCAGCTGTATAGTTTGGATTAGAGTTTCCTTGACTGTCTTGTTTTGTCCACAGATGTTCAGTTTGCTGTCATCAGCAGCTCCCTGACTGGTTAATGGTTGCAGCTATAAGATCAATAAAGTGTTCCAGTGTGATGTGAGCTCACCTCAGCGTCTCCGTTGGTTTCCCAGCTCTCCTCCCATTCCGCCGGAGTTTCCTCGTCATCCGCTTTCTGCTCCGCTGAAGCCTGAAGTCTGAAATAAAAACAGGAAACGTCACTTTGAGGCTCAGCGAAACATATTTCCAAACATCTAATCCCATTTCTTCTGCCACTTATTTTTTATTTTTTTTTACTTCAGACTCATTTTTGGTTTCATTTACTCACATTATGGACATTTTTCTTCATCAAATACTGAGAAATTAACGGAGCAACTACAGATTTATGTCTAATAAGAAACACAATAATGCAATATTTGTTTTTTCTGAAACACATATTGGTAAAAATACAGAATTTTTTTAGCAAATGATGTGAAAAACACTAACTGGAAAGAATTTATGGTTCCAGAGTGACTTTGTAGGAGAGCAGAACATTTAAAAAATGCTGAAAAATGATGTTTGGAACATTTTTAATGTCATCCACGGCAGGTTTTTCATTGAAATCCGACCCTGCTGACAGTTTTTCATCCTTTTCGGAGCTGAAACATCTTCATGCAGCTGATGTTTGCGATCAACTGGTTTCTCTCACACGTGGAGCTGCAGGTTAACAAGCTCGTTTAAATCAAGTTAAACCTAGAAGCCTTAAAACTTATTGATTTTTTGTCATATGACTATCGGTCACAGCTGAGTCACTCGTAGCTTCTCAGATGCGACGAGGAGCTCAAAATATTTTGTTATTCACAGAATCTGTTTTACGTCAGCGCCCAATTTTTGGTGAATTTTTAAAGTGGGACATCTCACAGTTTTAAGCTGATCTTTGTTTACTTCTCAAAGTTTATTGGCGAGGTAGAAATGTGACGTTTCTTTCTCTGATAATTGTTTTTACAGATGGTTGAACACCGACCTGTCTGCAGCCTCCTCCGGTTGTTTGGAGTCCTGTTGGTTCTGCTGCTCCTCCAGATGTTTGTTCTCAGTGTGAGCCAGCTCCGCGGTTTCCCTCCCGTCCTGCTCTCCGACGGCAGGTGGAAGCTGCTCAGGTTCCTCTGGAGGCTCCTCGGACTTCACTTCCCCTGAAACAAACACCGTCGGTCAGAGCCGGTTCTGTACCAGATGAGTGTGAGGCGCAGCGGCAGAGGCTCACCCGTTGACTCCTCCTCCCGTCCAAAGGGGGGAGCCACAGGTTGCCCGGTGGATCCAAACACCCGGTCGGTCCTGGTGTGCCGGTCCCAGACCCGGTGGCCTCTGTGGGTGAAGTACTGGATCCGGTGTCGGGGCAGCGCCAGCTCGGAGGCGTAGTCGCAGTCGCAGGGGTCGGTGTCCCAGTTAAAGTCGCTGAAGGGACGCTCGAGGACGCCGAGGAAGCGGTCCACGTAGCCGACCACGAACTCGCCGGCGTCCACCGACGGGTCCCACAGGATCCGAGAGATGACGTCGTCGGCTGTCCGCATGCGAGGCTTCTTGTTCACCTCTGAGTTTGGAAAGAGAT